TCAGCAGGGCCATCTCTGTCACGCACCACAGTGGCCACGTCGGGGGCCATCTATCTCGCACCACAGTGGCCACATCGGCAGGGCCATCTCTGTCACGCACCACAGCGGCCACGTCGGCGGGGCCGTCTCTGTCACGCACCACAGCGGCCACGTCGGCGGGGCCGTCTCTGTCACGCACCACAGCGGCCACGTCGGCGGGGCCGTCTATCACGCACCACAGTGGCCACGTCAGCAGGGCCGTCTCTGTCACGCACCACAGTGGCCACGTTGGGGGGCCGTCTATCTCCCACCACAGTGGCCACATCGGCAGGGCCGTCTCTGTCACGCACCACAGCGGCCACGTCGGCGGGGCCGTCTATCTCGCACCACAGCGGCCACGTCGGCGGGGCCGTCTATCTCGCACCACAGCGGCCACGTGGTCGGTGAGCCGTTACTCGCATCCACAGTGTGAGATGTGCGGTGCGCGACAGTGGCGCTGCCGCGGACGCATGCCGGGGCCGTGTGAGTGCCGTCGAGCTGCAGGGCCCCGCAGGGAGGCTCGGCGCTGTGCGGCGCTGCTGCTGCTGCAGGCTCAGTCTGCTCAGACAACGGACACGGCAGCGAACGTGACCCCCTTGATGTCGCGATACTTGCTAGGGGCGGGACTGGCTGCGTGTTACAGCGATTCTGCGAGCCGCTGGCTAGCCCCCGTCCCCATGCGACTTCGTGGGTGGAGGACCTGGGGGCCGCACGCTGGCGTGAGGAGGGGCAGGGTCCCTGGCTCGCACCGCCCCTAGGGGAGCCTGCGGCCCGGCCCCAAGTCCTACCGCTGTTACTGCTTCGCCCTGTTTGGGGCCCGCGGTTGCGCGAGTTGTGGCTTGCGGGGCCACGGCAGCCGCCCGCGTCTCAGCCGCCAAGTGGGTGAGCTCAGCGCAGCCCCCCACGGCGCCTGGGGAAGAGCATCGCCTTCCCTCGGAGTTCCCGTCTGCGAGGTGACGAGGGCGCGGCGCTGTGACTGAGCCCAGCGTCGGCGCGGGGCCTCGGGCGGCCAGGGACAAGCTGGCACCTTCGCGGAAGCCCCGCAGAGCGGTGACCCCTGCGACCCTCGCCAGGTCAAGAGGGGATGCCCGCCTGTGGGCGCCCCAGGACACGAAGAGCGGCACGCAGACGGTGGGCGCCGGCGGGGAATCCTGGTGGAGAGCCCTGCCGCTCCTGGGGCCAGGGGTCAGGACGTCGCTGGGGCTCCCAGGAGGGTTTGCAGAGAAGACCCCGAGCCAAGGGGGCCGGCGGGGCTGGCAGTGGGAGAGGCTGCACGGTGCCATCACGCGCGGCCTCCCTGGTCGGCGCTCAAATCACTGCTGGCGCTCAAACGAG